CTTTTCCGTGGAAGTATATTGTATCGTTTTCTATCGTGAATCCTGGTTCTGTTGCCTTGAGTATGCGTATTGCTGTAGCATCGCCTTCGTAGTATGATTGGATCTTGTTCTTTAGATGATTATCTTCCAATATATGAGTGGCTGCTAGTTACGGTGCATTGTAGACCAGTGATTCGCCTTCCCGTTTGAATATAGCGTATGATTCGTACGACTTGTTTTCCTGATATTCCGGTTTTCGGCTTAGAGCATCGGCTCTAGCGTTTTCTGATCCCTTGACATATGAAATCTTAAAATTGTAATTGGCCATGGTTTCCGACCATCTGACCTGTCGTCTGTTTAATTGCTTCGTTGTGGTGAAGTAAACCAAGTTCTTATGATCCGTATACACCTGTACTGTGTATTTTGATCCTTCCAAATATACTCGCCATTCTCTAAATGCATCGACTATCGCCAGTAGTTCTTTGTCGTATATTTCGTAATTTAGTTCGGCTGGTGATAGTTTTCGAGAGTAGAATGCGATTGGTTGATATTTCTCATTCTGACCTGGTTGACTCAGAACTGCCCCTATAGCGAAATCTGAGGAATCCGTTTCCACTATGATTTGCTTTTCTGGGTCAAATGTTAACAGTATTGGTTCTCCGGCTACTGCCTGTTTGAGTGCTTCGAAGGACTCCTGCGCCTTGGCGGTCCATTCGAACGTTCCTTGCTCTTTTCTGGTTAAATTGGTTAAGGGTACTGTAATCCCTGAATAACCTTTAATAAATCTTCGGTAGAAGTTGACGAATCCCAAAAAAGACTGTACTTCTTTAATCGTGGTAGGCTGCTTCCATTCGAGCACTGCCTTGACCTTATCTTTGCTCATCTTGAGCCCTTGGCTTGATACGGTGAATCCTAGGAACTCCGTTTCCGTAACATGGAATTCACATTTGCTTGGTTTACATAGCAAATCGGCTTTGGCTAAACTTTCAAGAATGTTGCTGACATCTTTGATGTGTTGGACCTCGTTGTTTGAGTATACTAGGATGTCGTCCAAGTAGCATATACAACAAGTGTCTAAGTATGGTGACAACACATTGTTCATGAGTCTCATGAAAGTAGCTGGTGCGTTAGTTAGCCCGAACGGCATAACCTGGTATTCGTATAGCCCGTATCTTGTTTTGAAAGCGGTTTTCCATTCCTCGCCTTCCTTCATTCTGATCAAATGGTACCCGTTGCGCAGGTCCATCTTGGTGAATATGGTAGCTCCGCCCAATCGATCTCTTAATTCCGTAGCTAATGGAAGTGGATATCGATCCTTCTTGGTAAGCGTGTTGAGCTTTCTGTAGTCCACAACTAGTCTCTTAGTACCATCCTTCTTGGGTACCCACATAGTTGGACTTGCCACTTGGGACGTGGATTCCCTGATCCATCCCTTGGCCAAATTGTCATCGATATATTCCCTGAGCGTCTTCAGCTCATCGGCTGACATTGAATAAATTGGGGTGTGCACAGGCATCTTGCCTTCCTCCAATATTATCTCATGATCCCATGGCTTGTGTTCTGGCAAAGCCTCATGGATCCCTGGTTCCTTGAACACATGTTCGTATTTCTTGTACTGTTCTGGTATCATAGGCTCTTCTGCCTTGATTGCGATTTCCTGCCGTGTCGTTGGCTTCTGCATTTGTAGAGGAGGTGTACTGGCCTTCGCTCTTAATGGAGGACCCTGGACTGGGTGTCCTACGTCGCCGGTGTTGTTCGCGTTCAACTCTCCTTGGCGCGTGTTACGTCTCGCGGACGCCTTGAACGTGTCGTCGTGACCGTTCTTGCACTGATCAAATGTCACTGTCTCTTGTGACCAATCTATCTTAGGATTGTGTGCCTTCAACCATGGCATCCCTAGGATGATTTGTTGTTGGCCCAATGGCACAACGTCAAGCTGTATAACCTCTGAATGTTGGGTTATGTTCATTTGTACTGGTCGTGTCTCCTGTGAAACATTCCCGTCAGATCCTGCTAGTTGTCCGTCAACTAACTGCAATTGGTAGGGTTTTTGTTTCTTCTGGAGTGGAACTCCCAAGTACTTTGCAGCTTCTGGTGCAATAAAGTTTCCTGTAGCCCCTGAATCTATCATGGCTTGCTGTATTTGTCCGTTTATTTTGACCTTGCAGTATATCTGTCCTGCTTGTCCTGTAGCATTCAATTGCTGGGTAACTTGTTTTTTGTCTGTTTCATTGGATTGTTGGTTCCTTGTCTTTCTTTTCTTGGGGAACCATCCGGTTGCTTCTTTATCTGATCGATGGATTCCGCAGAATTCATCATAGCAAGCAGTCCAGCTCATCATCGCGTGATCTGCTGGTATCTCTTCCTTAATACATTCTTCCGTTACCGACGGTGATGGGGTTCGGTAATACTCCTGTTCCCACAAATCTACTGCATTCATACCCTCTTGGTTTCGTGGTAACTCATCCAATAATTTCCGGAATTCTTCACTGGTGAAGGTCTCAGTTTCTTCGGTCTCAGCTGGATGTTCCTGGGATACAAAGGTAGCGTTAAGTTGGCCTTTGCCGAACTTGGGTTTGAAGTTGCCTTTCTTTCCTCCTGTCTTCTTACTTCGGCAATCCGCTGCCCGGTGCCCTGTTTTTCCACATTCAAAGCATAAGTTGTTTTCTCGTCTACGTTTCTTTTCCTGATCATCATTCCTGTTTGCGTGGTGCGTGGCGTCTAACTCCATAGGGTCTCCGTATCTCTGTGGATTGTATCGTGGTCTACCCTCGTTCTTGCGGTAACGCCCTTGGTTTTGATTTTCTTGAGGTTTGTATGATCTTTGGCTTTGCTTAAATCTGTAGAGACGATCGTCGGCTTCAATAGAGTCCTTGATTAAGTCGTTCAAATCATTACTCTCGCCGTCTCGGTCTAGTTCCAATCGTACTTCTGGTTTGAGCCCTTTTCGGTAATGGCTCATGATGGCGGTCTTATCCCATTTGGTCATTCCTGCATATCTTCGGAACTCCGTAGCGTACTTGAGGGCTGATCCTGTTTGCTTGATGTTAAAGATCTTTTCCTCGGCTATCTCTAACTCGTTGGCGTTTCCGAAAATCCTACGGATTTCTGTTTTGAACCCTTCGAAGCTCTCGAAGATTACTCTGGTAGGTTTCATGCGGTATCGCTCGCTGTTCTCGAAGTAGTCCCGCAAGTATGGCTGAATCCATTTGCCTGCTTCTCCTCTGAGGTATGATACGGCCCATACACTCTTGGATTCCTTTTCGGTAAACTTGTCTTCGTTGAATCTGAAGTAGATTTCAAGTTGCAAGAGGAAGGTGTCGAGTTCCTGTCGACTTCCTTGGTATTTGTCTGGTAAGGCAATCTTGAGTGTTTCGTTGATGGTAATTTCCTTGGGAGCATCGGTCATCTCGACATCGTCGGTGTCGGGTGCTTGTGCCTGACTGCTCGCGGATGCACTGGTGGGTGCCATATCGTCGGTTGGTATTGAATCGGTACTTGAAGCAGAAATGGTGCTCAAAGTGTTACGGGAGCTGCCTCTAGGGTCACGTGGAAGTGTCTAGAGATCTCTCGAGGTGGTTTAGACTAGACTTCAAGTAGGAATTCAATAAGGTTGTAACTGGTTGCAATTCTCGTAACTATAGTAATGAAACTAATGATTGTTCTTGAGCACGAAGCTCTACACTGTAATGAAACCCATTCCTTTATATAGACCTTCGTTCTCTGTGCTCAGTCGGATCACAAATGATCCCTCTGATCCGATCAACTGGATCACTAATGATCCCTCTGATCCGGTTACCTAAGCGTCGGGGTCACGTGACGTCTATTGTGGCAGACCATCGTAACAATTAGGCCTTTTTTAATATTCTTATTTTAATAACCAATCATTATTTTAAATAAAAAAAGAATATTAAATAATTATATGAAAATAGATTCTTAGAAATCTAGTTTTTATATAAATATTCCTATTAAATCTTAGAAAAAGTGAAAATTGTTACGATTTTCATTACAAAATAGTTATTTCTATAATAACTACTTTATAAATTAAATTTTTCTTAAAATTAATTAGATTTTTATAATTTATATATAATTAAATAATTTATATTAAATTTTCAGAAATTTTAATCTATAAATAAAAAAAATGCACAATTACACACAAACGAATTTTGTATATAAAATAAGTGGTGCACGTACTGATATAATGCACGCACTGATAAATTATGTTAATTAAAGATTGAATTCTAGTTTTGAAAATAAATATTATTTTATAAATATCAAATATTAATTTTAGATATTAATAAAATTAAAGAGATTTATAAAGAATCTGAAACTAAATCATTAAAATCATTATTAAAATTTATAAACAAATTAAATTTCAAATATATATTAATTTTGATTGATTTATTAATAATGAATTTTAAAGTAAGTGAGTTTTAGTATCGAAAGATAAGAAAAAGTGCTTTGCGCACAGACCCGGCATTCGTCAAAAACACGAGCTCGTATAACGTGGTTTATCAGTGAGTGGGTCATATCAGTGAATGGGTCATTTGAAAATACATCAAAATTAGGTCTTTTTAAATATTCTTATTTTAATAACTAATCATTATTTTAAAAAAAGAAAAGAATTTTCAATAATAATAAAAAATCAACTTTTTATAAATCTATTCTTTATATAAATATTTATATTATATTCTAAAAAAAGTGAAAATTGTCACGATTTTCGTTACAAAAAAATTATTTTTATAATAACTACTATAATAATTCAAATTTTTAATAAATGATTAAATTTTTATAATATTTATATAGTTGAATTTCAATATTTTCAGATTTTTTCAAATTATATTATCAGATAAAGAAAGTGCACGGTTACGCACAGACGAATTTTGTATGTAAAATGGGTGACCCATCCACTGATATGACCCACTCACTGATAAACCACGTTATTAATAAATTGTTTTAGGGTCTTGAGACATGTATGCAACTGCAACTGCAACCAAGCGTAGACAAATCACTTCGAAGTGCACAAAACTTACCCCATTCCTTGACACTGATTGTTTGAAGGAGTTTACATATGTATAACAGCTCCAAAGCCAGCAAGGTAAAATACCTTACTTATCGTATCGATATACGACGACAAGGTTCTCACAGACGATTTTATATTGGTGTACGGACGGGTTTGGTAGAAGTGGAGGAACGTTGCATTTGTGAGTATGAATTGGCATTGTGACAGAGAAGGCGTCAAAATGCTGCGATAATTCATAAGCAGTATAAGAGAAGTAGAATGGTTTTATCAAAAACTTGGTTCAACTCATATTTTAATTTGGCGATTGGAAATATAGTTACAAGGTGTCTTTCATCATCTTTGACCAGCTCTCTACCCAGCCATCTTTCTCGCAGCATCTATCTCTACCTCTACCTCTACGGTTCATCAAACTCAATTACCTGTCGAAAGTCCTAGTTTTCGTAATTTACTCGGCATCGCAAGCATCATCTTTTCCAGTTAAAGCAGAGGTGGAATGAGGAACGGCGACATTGGTCTTTGCGAACCTAGGTGCTACAGCAACAGAAGAGGTCTTGGCAGATGTAAAGTGCTTGCAACTGGGGAGGCGGATACACTCCCCTAAGCACCTGGAGCTGGCATGCTTGAATCATCAGCTCTCTTGCATCCAGTGTTCTTGGTCAATGCTGCTGGACATGCGACTTGTTTGAAATTGACAGCTGGGTTATTAGCACCTTTGAACCAGTTGAATCTGAAGTTGCAACCTGGTTGAAGGGCAGCTGGGAAGGTTGCGCAGGCGGAAGCGGCGGAGACACCACCATATTGTGCACCCCATCCTGAGGGAGGAGCACCGAATTCGGTTGTACAACCATTGAAAATTCCAACACCTCCACCTGGGATAGCCAAATCAAATTGGTTTGAGCCAAGATCACCACCGGTGTTACTACATTCAAGGTAATGTTAGAAGACGAATTCAGGGGTAAGGAAGTGATATGAATGGAAAAGGGATTCAACGTACGTAGCTTGAACAATCATCTTTTTGCCAGCAAGAGCAGTGCTGGTGAAAGTCAATTCATAACAAGCACAACACCACGAAGCCTCGCTTCCACCAGCAATGTGAACGGCAGCATAACCATATGCCAAATTATCGTTAACTGCCCAAGGAGATTGGGTTGAGCACATGTAGGCGCTTCCACCGTTGCATCCAGATGCAGCATTTGCAGTAGGGTCTGAGAGAGGGGAGTTTTTAACATTGCAGGTTCCGACTGGTCCAGAGCCAGATTGGAGAGTAGTTTTGCCAGGCCAGGCGCAAGATGGCTTGCAGCAATCCCAGTAACGAGTGGTGGTACCAGAACCAGAAGCTTGAGCACTGGCTTGGAGAAAGAAGGGGAGGAGAGCGACGAGGGTCTTGATTGGGAGCTGCATTTTGAATTTGGTTGTGTGATTGAAAGGGTGGGTAGAAGTTTTTTTGATTTGGTTTCGGACTGGAAATTTAGATATGTACTTGAAAAGAGTGAATGAACTTGACTTGGAGTTATATATGAAAGGTGCGAAAGGCTGTCGAAAAAGGCGTGATATTCAACAGTGGACGTGAGGAGCAAAGGTGCTTAAGGAAGTGAAGAAGAATGTGCTGATGATGGGGAGAGATTGTTCCTTATAAACATGTAGGCATACCCTAAAATTGCCCAGAAGGTTTTCTATTCATCTCTCCGATTGCATGCTGGAAATAGTGGCGTATGGAAGGACCGGTAATCGACTCGAACTTCAAATGAAAAGCCAATTGAATGACGGCCAAAATAAACATACCCATGATCCCAATCCTTATGACAGACAAGAGTTAGATGACCGTTTGTTCGGTTCTTTCGAATATGATGAATTTAGTTTAACCGACCCAGTAATATATACTCATGTACTTTAAGGTTGGGTCTCCTTAATTATCTCGTCGTTGGTCCCTGCATATAGTTTTTGCGGACTGTTATTTGGCAATTGGATCATGCCAAGTGATAGGGAGAAAATCGATTAGCTGTCTAGACTCCAATGTTTTCTTGATCTGCTTAGAAGCAAAAGCAAATTGGGAGATTGAAGTGGATTTGTGACAAGCTATACATCCTGTATGAAGTATTGTTGCTTTTGTAACATAAATCTAGACTGACTCAGGATTATCCGTATTGGAATTGAATTAGGCGCTGCTTCATTCTGAATTTTTCAATTTAAGAAGAAAAAGCCAACAAGTACTTTTGTTGATATCCAAACTCGGTCAGGTCATTCCATTCCATGTAACTGGAGGCTGAAGTGAGTGTAAACTTCACCGTTAACTCAAAGATGAGATTGAATATGAAATCTGTGGCATAGTACCTAATCTCGTTTCTTGATTCTGAACCTAACAACAGGAAGCCGAGGGAAGCTCTACGGAGTACATCGTACTCTTCGCCACCCCCACCATGAATACGCGCATTAAGGTAAGCACTTGATTATAATAATAAATTACAAGGTAAAGATGAGTATTATAATATGAATAGGTTGAATTCCAAGTTTTTTTTTCAATTTCTCAAAACCGTGTTTCCTAAAGTTATGCATATGAAAAACTCTTTAATATTAAAATAATAATTGATCTAGTATTAATTCTATATTAGTGCTTATAATAGAATCTCCTTTTTGATATTTTCGTTTTTGAAAGCTTTACAACTATTTAGAGATTTAAAGCTATTTAATAGTAAATTGTTATTATACTAATATTAATTTAAAGCCTTATTAAATCCTATAGTAATAGACTAGTATTATAAGAATTATATTCTCATTTTATAAGGTTTAATTTCTTTATGACTCGAAGAAAGTTATATTATAATATAAAAGTGTTAGAAATCTATTCATGAATGCAAAAATCGAAAAATAAATTATTTCCCTTTCCTTATTTTAGTAATATCGATTTAGTTTTAATAAAGAGATGAGTTATATTTAATAGTTTATATGATTAATTATATTTACTAGAGTCATCTTCTTCAGTAGATTTTCGTTCTCGAAAGTATATAAAACCTAAACCCTGAAAAATTTTGAAAAGTTTTTGAAAGTTAAAGAGGCGGAGCTCCATTAGCTTTCCGATAGAGTATTATATTGAAATCGAAAAGATTCTAAAAAAATTAAAAACTCTATTTCCTTCCCAGTTCGTATAATCAATTGTGTTTAACAGGGTTGTCTTCCTCTTTAGGCTTTCGTCCTCGGAAGCTTTAAAACCTAAAAACTATGAAATTAGAAAATTAGGAGTTAGAAATCGATAGCATTCCGCTAGTATGTTATGTGAGAAAAAACTAAAGAGATCCCGAAAATCCCGAAAAGTCATAAAAGTCATGGAAATCCTAGAAGTCTCGAAATCATAGGAAAGTTCTAAAAGATAAAATGCGGAGTTCTATTAGTTTTAGGCTTTCGTCTCCGAAAGCTTTAAAACCTAAAACCTAAAATCTAAAACCTAAAAACTATGAAATTAGAAAATTAGGGGTTAGGAATTGATAGCATTCCGCTAGTATATTATATGAGAAAAAACTAGAGATCCCGAGAATCCCGAAAAGTCAGAAAAGTCACGAAAATCCTTAAAGTCTCGAAACCCTAGAAAAGTTCTAAAAGTTAAAACACGGAGTTCTATTAGTTTTCCACTAGAATATCATATTGAAATCAAAGAGATGTTGAGAAATTTCGAATTGTTGGTTCGAGAAGGATACGGAAGACATAGCACTCACAATATTCGTAAATCCTAAATGTCTATATTATATTCTATCTCAAGAGCTAGCTAATTATAAAAAGTTTATAGGTCTTATATAGATGTTATAAGAGAAGCTAGTCTTTTTTGCTTTCGCTTGAGGCTATTATATCCCATATTTGCTAAAGACTATAATATAATAGCTAATAAATTGAAGCTATTCACTAAATCCTAATGATCAGTGTTCATACACTGGAAACTCTCTCTTATAGTTTCAATTCATAACTTTACCAGAACTTGCGGGCAGATGGGTGACCGAACCGTTAATGTATGCGTCGCAGTTCGACCTCTGTAAGATAGTATTCTTTATCATTTATAGAATAATCAATTAATTCCTGAATATTGAGATTTCAAAGTAGAAACACATAACTAAATCATTAATAAACGGGATAAACACTTTTAGATTAAGAGATAAGGCCCCAGCTTATTACACACCATCCTTTTTCATGACAAAATCCCTACAAAAATGTTGTTTTCCTATATAAATTAATTATTTTTATAACTCTTTAACTTTTTGAAGAATTGATTTGAAAATTATATATATAAGAAATGACTATATAAAGAATATTCAGTTTAAATAGTTCTCTGAAATTATAAAAATTGATAAAGTTATAGGTTTTCAAAGTTAAAATTTTTCAAAATTTATAACATGTAACGCTTTTCCCATATAAAAAAATCACTTTTTTTAAGCTTTTTAATATTTTCAACTTCAAGAACCTATAACTTTATCAAAAAAATAACTGGAAATATTTCATTCGTTTTTTTGAATTATTTTAATGATTTTTAATCTGAAATATTATTTTTATAAACTTAATTTATAGTTTAATTAAATTAATATATAGTTGAAAAGTTGAAAAAATGAGGGTTTTTGGTGTGTTTTCGCTTAGTGTGCGATAAGCCGGGGCCTAAACTCTTAGTAATAACATTATTAAGATTGTTATATTTAAATTTGAGTCGATTTATATTTATTAGATAGAATAGAAATAATATATTTGCTTTTATTATATTCTATTTTATAATATTGAATAGAAACTTTATTTAAAAGGAATTAATAGAAATAATTACTCTAATATTATACTAAAGGGGGGGGGTAGGTTTTTATATCTTTTTCCTATCTACTTCATTCAATTAGACACAGATATGTTACGACGGCATCCAACATACCGCGTCACATGACATAAATTACACGTGATGGAGCGTCAAGGAGCTTCAGCGCTCCTGGAGCGCGTTGCGATCCTTAACGATCCAACATATAGGAGAGGTCCTAGGGACCAGGAGAGAGAACGAAGGTCTATATAAGGGAATGGGTTTCATTACAATGTAGAGCTTCGTGCTCAAGAACAATCATTAGTTTCATTACTATAGTTACGAGAATTGCAACCAGTTACCAACCTTATTGAATTCCTACTTGAAGTCTAGTCTAAACCACCTCGAGAGAACTCTAGACACTTCCACGTGACCCTAGAGGCAGCTCCCGTAACAAGATACAGGCGCATCGCATGGTCTTAGTATAGCTATATAGATCAAATCGATTATGAATTTACTACTACTACTATTATACTAAACTATTACCTAATTAGTAATAATTTAGTTATACTTAATATCCTTAATCTTTTTCTATACTAAATATTAATTATATTTAATAATAGATCTTCAAACTACACCTATATCAATCATAATTCTAAAGAATTTATTCATATAATATCTTTTATTACTTATATCTTATAACTATTAATATATTAGTACTTACTATATTATTAAAAGTGATTATTATTAAAGAATCGTTATAGGTACCTATTAATACAAAGAATGCTCTGAAAACTTCTTTAATGTTGTTATTATTAATAAAATATTAATTAATAAGATAACGTAACGTATGGGGAACTCGGACATATGGGGAACTCGGACACTTTTAGCCCATCACCAACTTGAAACCGCAATAACTTTTATTATGCATACCCAATCACCTTCTACATCTGCTCAAATTGAAGAGAAGCTTCAAAAGGCTATAATTTCACTTCAATTGAAAGAATTTAAATCAATTAGAAAGGCTGCAGAGCATTTTGAAGTCCCTAAGTCTACCCTAGCTGATAGGCTGGCTGGGAAGAAAACACGTTCCCAAACCCACGAAATGGCTCAAATTCTTTCAAACGCAGAAGAAAATACTCTTGTACGATGGATTTCACGACTTACCATCACTGGATTCCCTGCTACACCTATGTTGGTGAAGGAAATGGCCGACGAAATTCGTCTTCGACGCGTTCGGGTCGCGTCATCTCGAAATCCTACCTCGACAGAAATTCCACCTATAGGCCACGAATGGATCTATAGATTCCAAAAACGACATCCAGAACTTAAAACATGCTATTCACGTCAATTAGAGTCTAATCGGGCTAAAGAAGCAACTCCGGAGAATATTCAGGCTTGGTTTGACGCGTTTCGCACGCGTCTTATTGAGCGAAAGTATGAATTAGATGATATGTATAATATGGATGAAACCGGATTTGGAGTTGGAAGTACTCAAAGTACGCGCATTATAGTCGATTCTACTCAGAAATCGAATTGGAAAGTTACAGCTGGCAAGCAAGAATGGATAACTGCATTTGAATGTGTCAATACAGCTGGAAATGCTCTATCACCTATGGTCATTTTCAAGGCTCAGAATACGAATTCTGCATGGATTCCAAAGGACACACCTCAAAGCTGGCAGTTCTCTACTAGTACAAATGGATGGACCTCAAATAGCCATGGATTAGAATGGTTAAAAAGGGTTTTCGAACCAGAATCCAAGAAAGTGTCAGGTGACCGACCTCGACTTTTGATCATGGATGGCCATTCAAGCCATATTACAGGTAGCTTTATTGCTTTCTGTATAGATAATGATATTGATTTACTTATATTACCTCCTCATTGCTCTCACTTGCTTCAGCCACTTGATATTGCGGTGTATGGGCCAATGAAACGATATCATG